TTCCTCCACTGATCTGGCATGTTCCTAGTCAACAAAATTTTGCTAAACAACCTAGTCAACCAAGCAACTCCCTTTTTACCCAAACACTTCCAAGCTTCAATAGGGATATCATCAGGTCCTAAAGCCTTATTTGATTTCATCTTCTTAAGTGCAATCTCCACTTCAAAATTTCTAATCCTGCGATAGAACCTATAGTCTTGGTTTATCGTATTACTGATTATTTCTTCCCCTATTGTCGTACTTCCATGTTCCTCATTTAATAGTTTCTCAAAATAATTCTTCCATCTTTCCTTAATCTCATCGTCCTTCACTAATACCTTAGAATCCTCATTAGTTTTCAAGTATTTGACAAAGAGAATAAGAAAGAGAGGTGCGATTTGAAAAATCTTTGTATCTTTCATCATTATCTTACAAATCCAAAACAAAACCCAAAAAAAAAATTTGTTAAAAATCAAATCCAAATAAAACTAAATTAAAAAGCAAAAACATCCTTAATTGGAAAGATATTTTACATTTCGGCATGATTGTCGAAATTTTTCTGGAGGATCTTTGATGATAGAGTACAACTTGGTTACAGTTGAGTGTAGATTGAAGAAGATAAAGTGTAGGTCAAAGATATAAAGCGTAGTGTAAATCAATAATGGTGGTGGTAGATTGGTGACGGTGGTGGTAGATCAACAATGATAGAGCGTAGATCTACGATAGTGAAGGTGGTTGGTGACTTGTGGCAATAGCAACCGATGGTGGATTATAACAGTAGGTAGGGCTGCAAATGAACCGAACTGTTCATGAATAAGTTCGGCTCGGCTCGGCTTAGCTTGACTCGTTAAGGGCTTGGCTCGACTCGGTTCGGTTCATTTGGTAAACGAGCCGAGCTCAAGCTCGACTCATTTATCTTTATTTAAATTATATAATAAATATATTATTTATTTATTAAATAATATAAATAATATTTTTATTCAAATAATATAAATAATATTAAAAAAAATTATCGAGCCGAGTCGAGTTCGAACCCAATTCCTTATCGACCCGAGCTCGAGCTCAATAAACGAGCTTGATAAGTAAATGAGCCAAGTTTGAGCTTAGCAAAGTTCGGCTCGGCTTGGTTCGGCTCGGCTCGGTTCGTTTGCAGCCCTAGTAATATGTGTGGTGGCGGTGTGTGATGGTGTTGTGAGCTTCAAAAATCGTTGAGAGATGAGAAAAAGAAAGAGAGAGTGAGAAAAAGATATGAGAGAGAAAAGATTTGAAAAATCTACTACTATTATAAATCTACTATCTGCTACTATTATAAACGTATGAAGAGTCTGCCATGTTTTTTTACTTTTTTTAAATTTCAATTTTATCCTCTCAAATCTACTATATTTTTTAAAAGTTATGAAGAATCCTATATAAACTATCTCTTTATTTTTGAAGTTGAACACTCAAAAATGATATATCTGCTTCCAAAAATCCCATATAAATATAAACAAACCATCTCCTTTCCCACCAAAGAAAAAAGAAAAAAAAAGTCGTCTTCGTATTTTTTACATTGATGATGATTGAATAACAAAAAATATTTACTCTTTCTTATTTCCTGTGTTTGCTTCTATACTGATATATATAATATTTACAATTATTCACCATGGATTAAATTATTGCGAATATTTTTGGTTGAATCTTAAAATTGTGTGCATGTATGAATTTAAATTGAGGAAAACGCATGCGTTTTTAAAACAGAGATTTGTACTAGATCTTAAAATTTCACAAGTTATCTTCACACACTTTTTGTTTGCTTAAATTATATTTTATGAACTGTAATATTTTATATGGTATTTCAATAACCAATATATAATGTCAAAATTTTAAATAAGAACCACTTTTGTGGGTTTTATTTTTTAAATTTATTTTTAAATTTTTGATTTTTCATACTTTCTCAATTTTTGGTGATTAAAGATAATGAATTTTTTTTATATTTTATATTTAAATTACACTTTTACATGAAAATCTAATATCTAATAATCTAAATAGAATTAAAAAGTAAAATATTAGTAAATTTTTTTATAAATTCAAGCATGTACTTTTTTTTAATTATATATATATTTTTGTTATCATTATTATTATTATTATTATTATTATTATTATTATTGTTATTATTATTATTAATTGTTTTCCAAAAAGAATACATAACAAATTATTATCTAAGTGTATTTAGATTAAGTAAATCTAAATCTAACAGTAAAAGTATTAAATTAAGTGAATCTAAAAAGAAAATAAAAGGGTTATTTAAAAAAAAAAGTGTCAAAGACAAAAATTATGAAAATCAAAAAATTTAAAACAAAAATTTGAAAAAACAAACGAAACCAAGCACTATATATTTCTCTTTTTATACAAAATTTTCTTCACTAATCTCTAATTTTAGACAAATTATTCACAAATTCCTTTCAATTTTTATGTGAATTTAATAATATAATTAAAAAATGGTGCATACACACAAAATGTAACACTAAACATCTACTTTATGACTAACTATTTAATTATGAATAATTAATTTTTCAATACAAAAGATTTCACCAATTTGAGAACCTTGGATGCCAACCCCCTTTCGTTGTCTTAAAAAATATGAAAGAGAGAGTTGGGAGAATGAGAGATACTGCAACATATAAAAATTTTTGAGGACAAATTTTCTCTTCGCAAATGTAAATAGTTATTATCGTCACGGGAATTGTTATTAAAAGTTGTCTTGTAAAATCTAAAATATAAATAAAATTTTGAGGATGTTAATAAATTTATTTTTAGAGACAAAATAATTTTATTTTCAAAAAGATAATTTTTGTACTGAAAAAATAGGAATTCATTATTAAATGTTCAATTTTATCATTAAAAATATAATAATGACATTTTTGACAATTAATATATTTTGTTCATAAATATATATTTTATTCTTAATTTTTTTTATCTTTAAAATCTTAGAGCTGTTTTGATGATTGACTTTTTAAATAATTTTTTAAGAAAAATATTTACAATAAAGTAAAAAGAAAGAATTGATTTCTTTGTTGTGACCTTTGGATTAAAACTTGATATTTTCAAAATAGACCTTAATTGTTATAATAAGACAAAGAATAAGAGTAAAAGAGAGAAGGGTTGTGATTAGGGATGTCAAATGTTTTATTAAGGTCAAGTTTGGGAAGACTAAATAAGTGTACTTTTTGACTTCTTTTGTATTATGTGTAGAAAAAATAGAGAGGAAATGTTGATTGATGTGACTTAAAAAAGATAAAAAGATGAAATAAGTGCACTTTTTTAGGTTAGCCAAACTTGGCCTAAAAATTTGACAACACTCACATGGGTGTGAGTATTGACAAATTTTTTAATAAAATATTTGGAGTCCTTAGTATTTTTGAAGAGAGAAAGACAAGAGATCGAAACAGTTTGTTTGTTTGGATGGAAAATATGTTTTAAAAATGTATTTTCTAGTGTTTTGGTACAATAAAAAATAAAAGTCAATGAAAAATATTTTTCATGATCGATAAAAAATAAGTTTATTTAGATAGAAAATATTTTCTACTTTTAAAAATAAGAAAATGCTCTTCGAATTAAAATTTTATCAATATTACTACATCATCACCACAACTTTCACTCCCACCACCACAATACAATCACCATGCTCACGGCTACCATTATTGTTGCCATACACCTCTACCTTCGCTCCACCATCACTAAGCATAAAAAAAATACTTTCTTAAAAATATATCTTTTAATATTTAAAAATTATTTTTCGCCTAAGCCTCCGTTTGGGAAGTGGGTTGGCTTTTTGACTTTTTGATTTTTTTTGACTATTTTAGCCTGAGATAAAAAGTTTGGTTTGGGAAAGGTTTTTTTGGCTTTTTTGACTTTTTTCGTGAGAGAATAGTGTAATGATTATGGATTGGATGTGATGTTTTGTTTGTTGTGACTAAAATAGTCTATTTTGTCTTTTTGTGACTAAAATAACCCCAAACCTCCTTGTCAAACGGACTCTTAAGTGTTTGTTTGGGATCTACTACAAAAGTTAAAAAGTCAAAAATTATTAAAAAAATCAAAAAATTCATACTATAAGCATGTGGAGAAATTATTATTATTATTATTTTTATTCGACAAGTTCAGTCAATGTACTTTGCGCATTAATGATTATGGATTGGATGTGATGTTTTGTTTGTTGTGACTAAAATAGTCTATTTTGTCTTTTTGTGACTAAAATAACCCCAAACCTCCTTGTCAAACGGACTCTTAAGTGTTTGTTTGGGATCTACTACAAAAGTTAAAAAGTCAAAAATTATTAAAAAAAATCAAAAAATTCATACTATAAGCATGTGGGGAAATTATTATTATTATTATTTTTATTCGACAAGTTCAGTCAATGTACTTTGCGCATTTAGAAAGTGAGAAGATGTGACACACTCCAAGCCACAAATTCCCATTTAAAAAAAATAAAATTCATGCACACCTCGGAAGTTAACAATTTGGTTAGTCTATTGTGAATCTATAATATTTTACAACAATGATTCATCCCCTTTTCCCCCCACCCCCTTTGACCCCCTCTCTCTCTCATTGGTTACCTTTTCTTTTTCTTTTTCTTTTTCTTTTTTTTCCTACTCCTCCAATCACCACCGGCCACGTGGCAAAGGGGGGGTGAGGGGGTGACCCCCAAAAAGAGGTCCCAAGCATTATTCAATATTTTATTACACAATTTTTTATAAAAAATTAAAAAATTATTTCAAATATATATATATATATATATTTTACTTTTATCAAAAAATATACTTATATAACATAACATGTCTCAAACAACCTGAAACGAATTAGATCGAATCGGATCAGATGGTATGAGATCGGATTGAGTAAAATCCATCAGTAGACCACAGCCTTGCCACCCAAGCACCACACCTTAACTAACCTAGTGATTCCTCACGTCAGGATAAATCCCTATATATATATATATCCAACCCCCTCTTCCCATTTTCGGATCGATAGCCACTGGCCAGACGAGTCCCCTCTCTCTCACACCCATTTCCATTCTAGGGTTTCAAAACTGCAACAAAATTTCAGAAAAAAACGCTAACGCACACACTCAATAACTCAAAAGTACATTCATATTACTTGCACTATATCAGGTTCCTGAGCTGAAAATCCAAAAAAATGGATCGGGAACAAAGAACAACTATCAAAAAGTAGAAACATTCAATTGATTTCAAACAATCAAAACTGTTTTGATCATTGTTTCTCTGGGCCCAAAAAATGTACGGCGGAGATGAGTACGATCCGAGTATGAATTATCACGGTGATGGTGTAGTGGAAGCGTACGATGAGGATGAGGAAGAAGAGGAGCAGGAGATCACTCAGGAGGATGCATGGGCGGTGATAAGTGCCTACTTTGAAGAGAAGGGTTTGGTGAGGCAACAGCTCGACTCCTTCGATGAGTTCATTCAGAACACAATGCAAGAGATCGTCGACGAGTCTGCCGCTATCGAGATTCGACCCGAGTCTCAGCATAACCCCGGCCGCCACGCCGACTTCGTCGAGGTCCTCTCTCTCTCTCTCGAATTTGGCTACTTTTTGTGAAACCCTAGCTTCGTCTGATATTTGTCTGGTCATCGCATTTCGAATGCGTGTATGATTTGTATTATGCATGTGTATGTTGTTCGCAAATAGGTCAATAAAGCAAAGAACTGATTGTTGTTAAAGAATGATTAATGTACTTTTTTCCTCAGCAGTTTTTCAGTGCCAAGCCCTGAGGTATATGGTATGTGATACATTGGTCTCTTTGATACCAGTTTTTTATTTTTTTTATTTTTACCATTTTATTTTATTTGCACATGACATTATATTATTTGTTTTCATTGTTTCATTAATTTTTGTTTCCAAACAAATAAATTAATTAGGAATACTCGCATAAATAGCAGTACAAGACGGTGACAAAAATAAAAATGAAATATATAGCATTTCTCATTTAAGAAACTACTTGAAGGGTTAATCATTTTTGATTAGTGAAATATACCACATTGTAATCTCTAGAATGCAATAATTGCATTATTTTTTTTTTCTTTTTAAGGGCTGTATTATAACTCTCTATATCTATATAGTTTTTAACTGTTGTCCAATAGTACTATGATGATTATATTTGTGTATCATATTTTGTTTAGTATGTAATATGTAACACATTTGTTTATAATGTTATATGTAGCAAGTATGAGTAATGAAATCTATTAAATTAATGAATAATATAAGTGACACACCTTTTTATCCCAATGAATCATAGTGAATTGCATGAATCATAAAATTCACAAAATTTAAGATTCATCAGCATGAGTTAAATTATTTTGGTTAAATTATGAATCATAATATTCTAACAACCACGGACACGGTCACATTATTTTGAATGAATTTTTTGTGTTTGTGAATCATTTTCACTAATTAGCTTAACAGTGGATGGTGATCTTCACAGTTTGAATATGAAATAGACACTTTGGGCCTCCAACAATCGAAACCAGCCTTTTGGGTTTTGGTGCAGGTCCAAAAAGAAAAGGCCTTAATATCTTGGTTTTTATTGATTGAAAAGCAAATCAACTGAAATGGAAGACTTTAGGTCTTCATAGCTGACACTGAGTGAGGGCAGACAAAGAAATGTGATTTTCCTCTTTCGTACTGTAAAACAAAATCTGTATTCATATATGTTTGAATAGAGAGCTCAACAATAGTAAGAAAGGTTATTGTTTTGAAACCTGAAGACATTGTTTTCCCTCAAGTGGCTGAAGTCTGAACTTAAGATATGAAAGGATCATGTCCTGGGTTATCTTTTAAAAAAAATACTTTTTCTCCCAAGCTAAAAATTACTAAAACTGTCTTTTCTTGAGAAAAAAATTCGTTTTATTCATTCATATTATTGCAAACAGGTTCAACATTATGAAAATGTAACTAGTTTGACGACACAAATAGACCTTGTTTGGCCTTTAATGGCTCAAACTACCTTTTTTATTTGGGTCTTAATGCAGACAATCTACCGAATCAGCTTCGGTCAGATATACCTGAGTAAACCCATGATGACAGAGTCTGATGGAGAGACTGCCTCTCTTTTCCCAAAGGCGGCAAGGTTGAGGAACTTGACCTACTCATCCCCCTTGTATGTAGATGTCACAAAGAGAGTTGTTAAGAAAGGCCATGACTGTGAAGAGGTCACTGAGACACAGGAGTTTACTAAAGTTTTTATTGGGAAGGTATTGAAATTTAAGTTCTAAATCACGGATATATATGTAACATTGTGTATTTGGAATTTTTTTGTCTTAATTCTTGCTACATTTTAGGTCCCAATAATGCTCCGTTCAAGCTATTGTTGTTTGTATCAGACCTCAGAGAAGGATTTGACTGAACTTGGAGAGTGTCCATTTGATCAAGGTGGGTATTTCATTATCAATGGGAGTGAAAAGGTTCTGATTGCTCAGGAGAAGATGAGCACCAACCATGTCTATGTGTTTAAGAAAAGGCAGCCTAACAAGTATGCTTTTGTGGCCGAGGTTCGGTCTATGGCGGAGTCCCAAAACAGGCCACCCAGTGGCATGTTTGTCAGGATGCTTTCTACCACAAGTGCCAAAGGGGTAAGCAAAGCATTAGTTTAGGGACACTTAAAAACATGTCCCTAGCATTGTTAAAGGGGTATTAGTGTTGGCAGCACTGCATTAGTCCTTGTGGAGTATTGCAAACACTACATTATGTGCACTTTTATGGAAAATTTGTTTTTTTATTGTTTTCCTTTGCAATTCGGATGATGTGAGGAATATTTCATTGTAAGTAAATGCAGGGATCTTCAGGGCAATACATCCGTGCTACCCTTCCGTACATAAGGACTGAAGTCCCAATTGTAGTTGTGTTCAGGGCATTGGGATTTGTTGCAGACAAGGACATATTAGAGCACATATGTTATGAATTTTCTGATATTCAAATGATGGATTTACTTCGTCCTTCCTTGGAAGAGGCATTTGTGATTCAAAATCAACAGGTATTTATTTTGTTATAGTCTCATCATTTAGTGTTCATTTAGCTGTATGAACAGTTGTTTCTATTTGCCGTTGCAGGTTGCATTAGACTATATTGGAAAAAGAGGATCTACTGTGGGTGTCACACGAGATAAGAGGATTAGGTGAACAAACTTGTTGCTCAGTTCATATAGTCATATTTGATTCTTAGCTAACTTGCTTGTCTATTTTGTAGATATGCCAAAGAAATCCTTCAAAGAGAAATGCTTCCACATGTTGGTACTGGGGAGTATTGTGAAACTAAGAAGGCTTACTATTTTGGGTATGTTTAGTTTCGGACTCATATTGGGACTCATATTCCAGAAAATGTTACTGATTGTTCTTAATTTCACTAGGTATATTATTCATCGGCTTTTACTTTGTGCCCTTGGTCGAAGGCCAGAAGATGATAGGGATCACTATGCAAATAAGAGACTAGACCTTGCTGGTCCTCTACTCGGAGGCTTGTTCCGAATGGTCCTTTATCTGTAACCTCTTTGGATATTATGGCAATTTGAAGGCTCAAATATTTCTGATTGTCATTAATGTGAACTTAAATTGATGCAGTTATTCAGAAAGTTAACCAGGGATGTGAGGTCCTATGTTCAGAAGGTTTCCTCATTAATCTCGTTACGCTTGGCTTCATCATTTTACCTCAGTAGTATCATAAGGTATATTGTAATTTGAAACTGAGTAGATTTGCATTCGTGGACCAGTGCGTTGACAACGGGAAGGATGTTAACTTGCAATTTGCAATTAAAGCGAAATCAATTACAAGTGGCCTTAAGTACTCTCTTGCTACTGGGAACTGGGGACAAGCAAATGCAGCTGGCACTAGAGCTGGAGTTTCACAAGTCGGATCCTATCTCATTCATTTTATTCTCCTTGATGTTCTCCTTTTCAATTCATTTATGGGTAGTTTTATGTCTACAGGTTTTGAATCGTTTAACATTTGCATCCACTCTCTCCCACTTGCGAAGGTTAAACTCACCCATTGGACGTGAAGGTCAAACTCCTTTTAATATATTTTTCAGAAGGCTGCAAATTTTTTCACTGGTTGTCTCTTGAATTTTCTTTTGACATTCATTCTTATGTGTCCAGGTAAATTGGCGAAACCGCGACAGTTGCACAACTCGCATTGGGGAATGATGTGTCCTGCAGAAACACCTGAAGGACAAGTAATGAATGATCATACATGAATTATTTATTTATTTTTTGAGTTGGAATGATGAATTATTTTTTGCAGATTTTAAACTTGATACGTGCTTACTAAACTCTGTGTTATCAGGCCTGTGGATTGGTAAAAAACCTCGCATTGATGGTGTATATAACAGTGGGATCAGCAGCACATCCCATTTTGGAGTTTTTGGAAGAGTGGAGTACAGAAAATTTCGAGGTAAATAACCATTGCAAGTGCCTCTGACTCTCCGCTGGACTCTGAAATTTTTGTCTCTTCACAAATGTTGTTTATTATGTATCCCTTCAAATTGTAGGAAATATCTCCTGCAGTAATCCCTCAGGCCACCAAAATTTTTGTCAATGGTTGCTGGGTGGGCATTCATCGTAACCCTGAGCTCTTGGTGAAAACTCTACGACAGTTGAGGCGACAGGTCAGTGTTTGGAAACAGGCTTTTTTAGTAATTTTTTAGCTTTTTGGCTAAAATATGATGTAAAAAAATTAGTATATTTGGAATGATTTTTTGGTTTTTTTACGAAAAGATGTGTAAAAAGTAGAGAGAAAATAGAATCTCTGACTTTTTGGTATAGGTTATTGGCTTTTTGATTTTTTTAGTGACTTTTTGGCTTTTACGCTTAAAAAGTGATGTTGCCAAACGAGCTCTAGTATCAATTTGATATTTGATTTACTACAAATTTCTAGATACTGATTTTATTGACTTAAATGCTCATATTTCATCCACAGGTTGATGTCAACACTGAAGTTGGAGTTATCCGTGACATTCGTTTGAAAGAGCTCCGGCTCTATACAGACTATGGCCGGTGCAGTAGACCATTGTTTATTGTGGACAAACAAAAACTGCTTATAAAGAAGAAAGATATCCTGATTCTGCAGCAAAGAGTATGTAGTACTAATGATGAGTTTTTTCGCATAGTCTATTGCCCCTCTGGTATTATTAAAGCAGTTGATTCTTTTCTCAGGAGTCCCCTGAGGAAAGTGGTTGGCATGATCTTGTGGCGAAAGGATTCATAGAGTATGTTGATACAGAGGAAGAGGAGACTACAATGATTTCCATGACAATAAATGTAAGTATTTAACGATCTCCAATAATTCAATTTTCTATTACATTTGAGAGATATATTTTCTGATTTCTTTCAGGATCTTGTAACTTCGCGGGTCAACCCAGATGAGGCTTATTCTGAAACCTATACTCACTGTGAAATTCATCCGTCGCTAATATTGGGTGTTTGTGCTTCTATCATACCATTTCCTGATCATAACCAGGTCAGGTTGTTCTTTGTGCTCTTGGTCATATATATTTTTTGTTTCATTTATAATTTGGCGAAGCAATGCAGTCCCCTCGTAATACGTACCAGTCTGCAATGGGGAAGCAAGCCATGGGAATATATGTGACCAATTACCAGTTACGAATGGTGGGTATTTTTTATCTTTTTCTTTAGCTCAGATCCTGTCTCCCGAGCAACCTCTCTACCACAAAATGTATCTCCCTGTTTTTTCTGATTGTCTCTCACATTGTACTCCACTGGTCTTTGCTTGATACAGGATACACTAGCCTATGTTCTCTACTATCCTCAGAAGCCCCTAGTTACTACGCGTGCAATGGAGCATTTGCATTTTAGGCAGCTACCAGCAGGCATTGTAAACACTAGCCCTAGTATTAATTATTGCTTGATCTGTGTTCTCACTGAGCTTTGGTGTACTGACTTAGTCCTTGTCTTGGTTTTGTGAAAGAATGCCACTGTTGCAATTGCTTGCTATTCGGGATACAACCAAGAAGATTCTTTAATTATGAACCAGTCTTCAATTGATCGTGGATTCTTCAGATCTCTATTTTTCCGTTCATACAGGTAAGGTATATACAACTTTGGATGAGTTATTTATATTCTCCCAAGTGTGGAATGTTTTTCTACTTTTATTTGATAGGGATGAGGAGAAGAAGATGGGGACACTCATCAAAGAGGACTTTGGGTGTCCTAATCGGGATAACACCATGGTTAGTGCTTTATCTACAAGACATTATGTTCTATTCTATGTGTCTTTTTTTTTTCTCATAAGAATGCGAGCGAAACTCTGCTTCTGTTGGCAGGGAATGCGACATGGATCTTATGATAAATTGGATGATGATGGCCTTGCACCTCCTGTAAGTTTATGAATATAAAACATTTGCGTAATTTTATTTCCTTGCAAAGGCCTCTAGATTGTGCACGTCATCTGTTTTTTTACTGATGTCAGGGGACAAGAGTCTCAGGTGAAGATGTTATTATAGGAAAGACGACACCAATGGTTCCGGAAGAGACTCAAGGACCATCTTCAAGATACACACGTCGTGATCATAGCACGGCCTTACGCCATAGTGAAAGTGGAATGGTGGATCAGGTACCGTACAATTCCATTCATATGCTGCAACTGATCCTTTAAGTTATAATTTGTTTAGTTGTTCACTCAATCAAAAATTTCTCCCTTTTTTGGGTAGGTCCTATTGACCACAAATGCAGATGGGTTGCGATTTGTTAAAATCAGGATGAGATCAGTTCGAATACCTCAGATTGGAGACAAATTTAGCAGTAGGCATGGGCAAAAGGGAACAGTGGGGATGACTTATACACAGGAAGATATGCCGTGGTCAATTGAGGGAATCACTCCCGACATCATTGTGAACCCACACGCCATTCCTTCTCGTATGACAGTTGGTCAGCTCATCGAGTGCATCATGGGGAAAGTTGCCGCTCATGTGGGAAAGGAAGGAGATGCAACTCCTTTCACTGATGTTACTGTAAGTATAAATACGACATGAAATAAACAACATGCCTCACTGAAACCTTTGAGACCTCTAGATTCGAGGCTAAATAAGCCAAAGAAAGTTGAATTCCTGCGTAAAAAATCACATGCTGTATATGATTTTGATAGATTAGGAACCTACAAGAAGATCCAAAGAACATGTATCTGTGTGTGTGTGTGTGTGTGTGTGTGTGTGTGTAACATGGCTGATGACTGAATAAATAGTTATGCTATTACCCTTATTGTATCTTCATTTGTGTTTATTTAAACAGATCAATAATACAACAGATTAATCATCAGAATGAATTTTTAGCTAACAAATGTATGTTGTACTCCTAGTTAGACAATATCAGCAAAGCACTTCACAAATGTGGGTATCAAATGCGAGGTTTTGAGACAATGTACAATGGTCACACGGGACGACAGCTGACTTCTATGATATTCCTGGGCCCAACTTACTACCAGAGACTGAAGCACATGGTGGATGATAAGATCCATTCTCGTGGGCGGGGTCCAGTCCAGATCCTCACAAGGCAGCCTGCTGAAGGGCGATCGCGTGATGGAGGTCTGCGATTTGGGGAAATGGAGCGTGACTGCATGATTGCTCATGGGGCTGCACACTTCCTCAAAGAGAGGTTGTTTGACCAGAGTGATGCCTATAGAGTTCATGTCTGCGAGCACTGTGGTTTAGTCGCAATTGCCAATCTTAAGAAGAACTCCTTTGAGTGTAGAAGTTGCAAAAACAAAACTGACATTGTTCAGGTAAAAGGGCTCTCTCACTCTCTCTCTCAAACATGCGCTCACTTGTAACATGTTGTATACCTTTTTATGCTTATCTAATATGTTCTATTGGCTTTGTGCACAGGTGTATTTACCTTATGCCTGTAAGCTTCTTATTCAGGAGCTCATGTCCATGGCCATTGCCACAAGGTTGCTAACAAATGAAGTGAAATTATCGAAAGAATGAAAGTTAGCAGCCTAAGCAATCACTATTCCAATTCCTAATTGCTTCTGAATAGAAAAGGCCATCTTAAGATCATGGGTAATAATAACTCCAATTTCGTATCAATTGAGGGCCAATGAAAGAACAGTATCCAAAGTTTTTTACATTTTAGTGAACTCAACTTTATAGATATATTATTGGTGAAAAACCATGACAAATTTGGATCCCGTTTCTTTCTGTGGGTCTTTCTAGTGGCGTTGTAAAGGCTTGCTGAACAGTTGGTCCATTGCTGCAACATTGTTGGTCCATCAATTTTTCCGAGTGGAATGTATAAGAAGATTTCTTTTGAATAATGGGCGTCACTTGTGTGGAGGTACTGTTTTGTTACTAAGGTTATTTTTCTCAGTAGTGCTTGTGTAGCCAGTTTTTTTTGGTAACTGACAAACAAAATGCCAACTATTATCCTCACAGTACTAGTTACTAAAAAAACTCCCATCACTTGATGTAGCTAAATTGCTGAAACAATGAGTTGAATGAATGTTTAATTCATTCCCGCACCTCACTTTCCTAATATCAACACATAAACAGTTTGTAGAAACTGATTTTCCAACATTCGGCTCTGATTACTGAGGCATGATAACCTTTGTCAGGAACGGTGTGCATCAAGCAATTTCTTGAATATTTTCATACTCATGTAAATCCATCAAAAGCACAAGATATTTTGTGTGTGAATCAAGCACCCTTTGTCAGATACTTCTTGAATAGACCAAGACCTACCCTCAAGATCCTTTTACTACATGGATTATATCCCAAATGAACAAGATATTTTATGTCGGTGTATATATGTAACAAAGTGTTTCGGTAAGATGGAATGGATCACATAAAAACATTTTCTTCAACCATGAACAGAATTTTGTAATCATTCAATCAAAATCATCACAAGATCTTTGGAATCCAACCATGAGAGAGAAAATAAAAAGTGAATTTAATCATTCCCATTTCTATAGAACAAACAGATCGCTAGCAATTCATCTAAAACCCAATATGCAAAGTGAAGACTCAAGAAAAGACACCAAATAACAATGGACACTGACTTGAAAATGGGTACAACCTAAACCTAAAAATTTTGAAAATTTTAAAGAAATTGAATCCCAAGAATGATGAGCACTAACCTGAAATCTAAAAGAAAATTTTGAATCTTTGAAAAAGAAATGAAACCCAAGAATGATGAATGCTCAGTATGAAAATGGGTATAAAAGTATGAATCTCTACATCAACTTGTAGTAACAGTTCTTGCCAGAAAGAAGAATCTCATAGCCTTTGTTGCAGGGACACTTGAAGTGAATGATCAAGCACTCCCCTGTTCTCTCCACACTCACAGCTTCCTCTGTTTCAGTCCCTTCTGCAATTTCATCCTCTGTAATCTTATTATTGTTAGCACCATTAAAATCGCCATTGTCATCCTCTGCACAGCCACATTCTTTTTCACCGCCTTCGCACATGACTTCATCCCACCATTGGATCATCTCTCTCATCCGATCCTTCATTCTTTTCAGCCTCTTGGAACTAGGACTCTCTCCTCCCCTGTTTAACTCCGAACCCAACTCGCCAGAAATGGGTGAGTGTGAGAATGTTCTTGGTGCGGATTGAGTTGGGTCGGAGACTGATCGGCGGAGAACCCGGGGGAGAGGTGGCAGAGAGGCAGTGGACTTCGCCGGAGACGGGGTTGTGGCTGAAGCGTTTGTCTTGGCATTGTCTGGTGAGAGAGAGTTCAAAAATTGTGGGGAAGGAGGAGTGGGATTGGTGGTTCCGGAAGAGTTGATGGGGTCGGAGAAGGAGCGGCGGAGAATGGGAAGGGGAGTGGAGGCGGAGGGTGGCGATGCGGTGTCGGAATTGATCGGAGGGAGGAATTTATTGGCGGCGTAGGAGGAGGTGAGGAGGGTGAGTTGTTGTTTCTTGGGGGTGGGTTCTTGGGGGAAGGAAGAGGAGGGTAATCGTCTTTTGACGGAGGAGCCGCACATGGTGCAGCAATGGGCGGCGGCGGAGGAAGGCGGAGGTTCGGTGGTGGTGGTATTGAGGGTGAGCATAGCGAGGCCGTTGACGGCGTTGGATTCGAACCCACCGTGTTCTTCCATTTCTTGTGAGTGCTCTGTGCTCTGCATATATTATCCTCTGCCTCTTGATTTCGCGCTCTCACTCTGTCTCTCTCTCTCTCTCTCTCTTAAATGAAGTGGGTATGATTACCAGTCTCAATTATGTTTCAAACTATTCCCTCATAACATATATAGCACAGTTCGGTATACTTTTAACCGCCTCAATTATGTTTTGGGCTTTGCTAGCCTAACCCACATTGAGCATATAATAATCCTACTTCCCCGACCAGTCAAATTTTCCTTAGGGTGTGGTCAAGATGGTGATGGCAGGCTTGGGCTCGACAGGGGCGGTGAGTGAGGTGGTGTTAGTGGGTGGAGAGGGGCAATGCATGCTGGAGAGGTTCAAAGGGTGACAAGGGTTATTAGAGAGGGGGTGAATTAAGATGGTTGAAATTAGTGAGAATTGTGAGTTGAATTAGGGTTACTCGCTCAATCCGTTTACTTCAGCTCAATATTTTTAAAGTTTAAAAAAATATTTAGCCTATAAGGTATGATTAGATTAAAATTTTCAACTCAATTAATTTTAAGACTAAATTTAAGATAAAATTTTTTAATCTAACTCAACCTGCCTGGCCCATTTGCAAAATATTAATTTTAATTTTTATATTATTTAGTTATAAAATAAATCAAAGATAAAAGAAAAATACATATATATACTTTTTCTAGACTTTAAATTTAAATATTTTATAATTGAATTTGGTTACTATTCCAAATTCAAAATTTTTGAAAAGGTTTAAATAATGAGATTGAGAGGGTAATTTTTGGGAAAGAATTGGGCCGAGCTGTGAGTTGGGCCCTGCGGCCCAAAGTGTGAAGGAATCGGTAAGAAGCCGTAATGTTATTTCGGCCCAGTAGAGGTATAGATACTCCGGCCCAGGAGAAGTGAAGTTATTCCGGCCCAGGAAAGGTGTGGTTACTCCGGTTCAAGAATGTGTAAAGCAACTCCGGTCCGGTGGCAGTTTGAAGTGAGTCCGGCCTTGCATTTAGTCCGGTCGGGACATATTATGGTTAGGTCGGTCAGAACTTGCTACTTGGAAGTTTGATCTAAACCCACCATGGTTGAACAGTGGAAAGCCGAGATAAGGAGTTGGTGGAGAAGACCGAGCTAAGGACAGTTCGGCCTTCTCTGTGGCTCTGCATAGCCAAGCTTATTTCGGTCATATAGTAGTTCGGCCATTGTGAAAACCATCCCACTTGGTTTAAGCAGTGGGGGAGGGTGTAAAAGGATAAGCATTATCCTTGGGAGTATGAATCCTAGGAGGACTCTGCGTGGAGAAATACAAGTCCTACTAGGATTGTGCCACAGGAAACTTATAAAAGCTCACAAATATCACCTTGGAGGAGGTAATTAAACACAATTCTTTCTGAGAACATAAACTTTGTCTATTTGTCAAGCTTACTGACTTAGGCATCGGAGAGGTTTCCGGCACACACCCGCCGGCTAGCTCACGTTTGTGTTTTCAGGTGATAAAGCGACGTCGTACGGAGGAACGTGGACTTGGTCAACAGGATTATACGAGGAGAATTATTTCCTCCCCGTACAGAGATAATTATTAAAAAGTCCAAATTAAAGAGGGCATAAGACATTAAATTCAGTGAATATTTTTTTGTTGATGAGAAATTCACCATTTGTAAAATACTTTGGTGAAAAATTCTTCGGTTTGTTTTGGAAAATATTTTGTTTTTAATTTTACTCTTATCTATTTGTTGACTTTTTAAAATTATCTATTGACTTTCTGTTGATATTTGTTCAAATTATTTTTTATTTGTTTAAAATTTTTCCTTATCTGTTCAAATATTTTTTACTATCTATTGAATTTTTTTAATATTTGTTCAAATATTTGTCTAAATTTTATTATCTATTCAATTTTTTCTTTTATCTATTTAAATCTATCTATCCAAATTTTATTATTTGTTCAATTTTTTCCCTGATTCTATTTGTTAATTTTTTATTTGTTCTAATTTTTGTTATTAAAATATACACTAAGGCATGGTTTGGCATCCTAAAAAAAATTTAAAAAGTCAAAAAGTTATTATAAAAGTTAAAAAATTATCATTATTCACAAATTAAAAATATAACGAAATTAATTTACACAATATTTTAATACAAATCAATTAGTTGACGTGACTAGTACGAACTGATGGAAGTCAGCTGTCAAAGGAAAAAAAAGAAAATTAGGTATATTTTTTCATTAAATTTGAGGGTAATGTTGGGCCAGTGGAGACCCATCACAGGTCTCGTTTTGATAATCTGAACTGTCAATGTGTAGAACTCGTCAAATACAATATACTTGTAAAAAATCACGTTGATCGGATATTGCTAACTATATGATCAAATCAGTTTTGTATGAAAAATGGATGGTATTATAGTTAACGGTTGGCCAAAAACTAATACGATCAGATAACTATCGATATCCGATCACCTTGATTTTTTACAAACATATAGTACTCAACGAGTTTTACACATTGACCGGTTCCCGATTAGCAAAACGAAACACGTGGTGGGCCCCTAAAGGTCGAACTTTTTGAAACTCCAGCCTGTTCCGCTACCAATTGCCGCTGCAACGATGATTCCGGCACCGCCATTCTTCTCCTTCCCTGATCGGAGGGGCAATATGCGTTTTGTTGAAATTTGGATCAAAGAGATTATCAGAAACGGTGTTGTTTTGCGGCGGAAGAGATCGTCGGAGATGATCGAAGTTCAATCAGATCTGGAGTATATATGAAGTTTTCGAACAAGGTCTCAGCTGGGTCTAGCAATTTCTGAAGCAAATCACTAACGTCGTTATGATGCAAGAAGAGAAAAGACTTAAGTTAGCTTCACCGTTGGCCTGTGACAGAGTCATGGTGGAGGTCGTCAGTGTACATGAGGGACTAGACGTAGTTGTGGAGGTTGATGCGAGGGCCGACGAAGGCGGAGGTGGAGTCAGGGAGGGTGGGGGTGTTAGGGTCACGACACAACGTTTCTAGCGACGACGCTAGAGAGTCATTGGGTTTGATTGATTGTGGAGAGGGAGAGAGAGAGAAGCAGAGAGAGAATGGGTTTTGAGAAATGGATTTCAACAGATCAGACCATCTATGTTGTATAAGGAGTGAGGGAATGGACTCAACAGATCATGACAATGAGGAGAAGGGGTAGTTTGGTCATTTTTCAAAAGTATGTCCCTGTGGACCGAGTAAATTTACGTGGACCAATTGATTGAAAAAAATTTAAAACAGAACTTTTAGACTGAATGATTCAAAAATGTTTTGGAGTTTTAATTTGTAAGTTCTAATAGTTCTATTGTGTATGTAGGTCCATTTGATATGATATTTTAGTCTCTGTTTTTTTGTTTTTTGATTTTCCACCTCACTGGAATTCTAATTTTAAAAGGATGTATCATCGTTGGAAATAATTTAATAGCCTTTCAAAAAAAAATAATAAAAACTAATATTTATTGAGTTGAGCGGGGATACTTGAAATTTTAGATATTCTTTTACAATCCACCAAGGATCCTCTAGAGTGAAATTTCTTTAAAGTTTCCTAGAGTGCTATATTGTGTGGTTGAGATTTACTGGCAAGTCACATCAGAAAAATTGATGTGACTTGCCAGTAAATCTCAACCACACAATGTAGCACTCTAGAAAACTTTAGAGAAAAATCACTCTAGAGAATCCTTGCTCTTTACAATCAGGCTTAAAATGACTAAAAGACCTGATGTTAAGTCGGATTGAACAACTTAAAATAACACATATACTCTCCAATAAAATAACACATATACTCTCCAATCTGATGCACCCTTAGATGGGCTAATAGCAGGTCCAGCATGGCATGTGAGAGTAGAAGAAAGGTGATGGATGGTACTACTCTCAATATGGGCACCTAATAGTGGTTCCGTAAGATCAATGGGCCTACTTGTCACCCTCCCACCTCACCATTGTCTATCTGAAAATTAAAATTAATTTAAATTTAGGAAACCACAAGATGAAAGTGGGTTTACCATGGAAATTTTAAAATTTTGGATCCTTCTGGCTTTGTGTTTTGTCTAACCCACCAACCAACCAGCAACAATAAATAAAAATATTTCACATGGGCTAATAGCAGGTCCAGTATGAAAAGTGAGTGTAGAAGAAGAGTGATGGATGGTACTAGTCTCAATATGGGCACCTAATATTGGCTCCGTAAGATCTATGGGCCTGGTTGTCATCCCCCCACCTCACTATTGTCTATCTGAAAATTGAAATTAATTTAAATTTAGGAAACCACAAGATTAGTTGAAAATTGAAATTAATTTAAATTTTTTTTTTTTTTTTTTGAGTTGTGATTTGAGTGTGGAATTGTGAGTTGAGTTTTGAAAAGAGAAAATTTGATTGGTTAAGAGTTTTGAAAAGTATTTTGAAATAAATTTTTAAATTTTGAAAAGAGTAGATTGGGTCTACCCCGACGTCCGGCCGGTTGACCGGAACAGTGTAATTTTTTTTATTTTTTTTGTTTTGTTTTGCAATTGCAACCTGTTATTTAAAAAAAAGAATATATTTGTTTTAGATATTTTTTAAATATAGAAATTATTTTTTTAGATTTTTATAAAAATAATTTAATAATCTCATCACTAACCATCTTCAACGCTATATCATTAAAAGAGTTTGAATTGTGTGTTTGATTATGAGTTTTGGAATTATTTTTTAAATTAAATTTTGAGTAATTTTGAATTATGTGTTTGATTATGAATTTTGAAAAGCGATTTGAAAATTTTGCTTTTGGATCCTTCTGTCCTTGTGTTTGTCCAACCCACCAACCAACCAGCAAAAATAAATAAATAAATTAAAATGTTTCACTGCTTGAAGAAAGTAATGGGTTAAAAAGAATAATAATCAGTGTTTTGGTTAAGTTTTATGAATTCAGTTTCTTGAAAATTAAATTTTTTATTTTTTATATTTTTTTTTGTTTTTAGTTAATAATTTTAAAATTTTAAGCAATTTTTTTTACTTTTTAAAATGTACTTTACTATTTTTTTGTGAAAAAATAAATATTTGTGAAAAAATATTTTTAAAAATTAATAAATACATAAAAATATAAAAAATGTATTAAATTTTCATATTTTTTTTATATTTTTGGTATTTAGTGAAT